AGCAAGGTTGGGCATTACTCGAATATTTATCTAAGCTGATTATCTGAATGAATTATTTTTAAGAATTATTATGAAAAAGATAATTATCCGAATGAATTATTTTTAGTCGAATATTCGAATTGCGATTATTCATTATTCGTCATAAATTATTCCATCTATTTATTCGAATAATTCTTTATTCGTCATAAATTATTCTATCTATTTATTCGAATAATTCTTTATTCGTCATAAATTATGCTATCTATTTATTCGCATAATTCTTTATTCGAATAAATTATTCGTATAATTCTTTATTCGAATAAATTATTCGCATAATTCTTTATTCGAACAGAGATTGTAAAATTGTTGGAATAATAATGAATAATTCTTGTCTGTGTGTTTGTTTTCACGTAATTTTATAAGAACATATTTATACGAATACGTACAGTATACGGGATCGATTAAATTTGAATTATTTATGGAATTATAAAATTATCGATGTCTTCCTCTCGATACACGTACAACAACACAAGTTTTGTATGTACAAATAATGAACTGATATTATTGGGAATAACGGCAATAGTCCGAGTGGAGAAAGTTATTGTTATGGCAATTTGCGCGCCCGAAGAAAGAGCTCGTGTTAGACCCACAGCTGGAAACATATTCTACGATGGCTCTGTCCAGCGTATCACAATCGCATTAAGAGACCGTGGCCAATAATGTACCGAACGAAAATTGAATTTCCACCAAGCCATAATTCAATGACCGACCAATTTTGCTCTCTTTCGCGTCGAATTAATACACTTATCCCGCGCGATAATTTATTTCATGCGACACGACCCCGGCCACGGCCGGTTCGCGCCAATTGCACAATAATTTCAGACACACCCTGCATTATCCGCTTATTACGGCTCGTAAATAATTCTTCCCGCGGCGCGAGCTGAGCGTTTCGGGAACGTTTCTCACGGACTGACCGGGAAAACTAAACCTCGACATGGATATTACAATTGTTGATGTCATCTTTATTTCTTGGGAAACGAACACGGATCTCGGTCTTTGAGAAGGTGCACAGTAGCAACAGATGCGCGCAAAAATCGAATGTACTCTTATAAATGTCTAATAAAATGTCTCAGAATTTTACAAGTTTTTAAAAATTAATCGCTATCTTCTGATTCGGTATTTTCTGTTTTGGTCTTCTCGGATTCACAAATGATTAAATATTCTCGATTCACATTGAACTTCCTTCTTTATTTGTAAGGTTATGTCCCCAAAAAATTTCCCAAAAATCGTTCCTCGATATCTCAAATTCTCTAACAAGAGATAAATGGCATCCAATGACATCCAGCAGTTTGTCACAAAAAAATTATACAGCCATACAATACCTTGATGCGAAACAATGAAAATTACAGGATATTTTCTATCAATATTTTAATTGTAAACACTATTTATATACATTAAACAAATGAGCTAATTTTCTAGTAATTAGGTTATTAGGCTCTAGTAATATTAGATTCTAGTAATTAGACTCTAGCGATTTGTTCGGTATACATATAGATTGCTAATAGCACCAAATATATATATATATATGTGTGTGTAGTTAAAAATTGAACAACAATTTTTCAATTTTCGTCTACAATAGGCTGCACTGTGCGTCCAATGGAGATAACAGAGCAACATGGATTTCTCGAGCAAGAAGTTCAAATGGACGCTTGATTTACGCGTACGGCAAATTTCCTTGCGTCATCCGAGTCGTAAATTATGAACATAGCGGATCAGAGTCGGTACATTGTGCGGTAATGGGCAGAAAATATTTTGTTCGCCGCAATAGGGTACCGAGTAACTGTAAGTCCTCTGAATCGGGGCCTATGCAGCTCAATAGAGATAACTCGGGGACCGTGAAATATGATAGGATTTGACCTACGAAACCCAATGTAAATAACTGTAGACACTGACATTCGATATACTTGCGATTCCGAGCCACTGAAATGCGACACGGATGACCAACAACCTATTAGGCCCAATGTAGGGGCCTAGAGGTCCCTAAGAGACCGGCTCGCTAGACGGCATGCGACACCTGATACTCGTGTTTTGGAACCTGAGACCGACGACTTGGGACTTACGGAATTTAGTAGCAAGGGTCAAGTACCCATCAATGGACCAGAGGGTCAATTAATTATCTGTGATCCTCAAAAATGCCTTTGTATATTAAATTCTTAGCTTGCGCTCATAACTTGTTTTAACCTTTTCTCGCAAACGTAGAAGACTACTAAATGATTCACACGATTTCGAAGTTTCCATCGAGCACAATTAAAGAAATTACGGAAAACCAATTAGTTATCTGTGGTTTTTAAGCCTTTAACTGCCAAATGTTTTTTTGAATTTTTGACAGGAAAAGTTATGTATGTTGCACGAAAACTTGTGTAACAATATAATTATATTCAAATTATGTTTTGTCGTTAAAATATTTTATACTTTTTAAAAAGTCCCAAATGGGGATTGTGGCAGGTTGCATGAATAAAAAAGAAATTTTTTTATTGTATGAAAAACAAAAGACTGAGTAAGTAACTGACTCAGTTACTATAACCTCTAAATTACTCATTTTTATGTATGGTATTTAATAATAATATAAAAACCAAACCAAAAATATTATGCTTCAAATATGATAATTTGTGTTCAACTTACAGATGATTTCCAAATTTCTTCACTTGTTGAAGAGAAACGAAATACAAAATACACACTGTCTGCTGTAAACAATATTGGCTGATATGTATAAAATGACATTAAATTGTCAAATGCACCTCATATATTTTTCGCGCCAAGTGGTGCACGTTAAATTCCAAAATGGGGATCGTGGCAGTTAAAGGGTTAAGAAACTTTTGTATATGGATTTTCTAGCTTGGACTCATAGATTGTCTTTAACCTTATCTCGCGAACGTAAGAAATTATAAAATGATTCACACAATTATGAAGTTTCGTAGAAACACGATTTGTGAAACTGTAGATTAATGCTTCTAAAGAAATTGCAGCGGGCCAATTAATTGTCTCCGGTTCTTGAAAATGCAATAAAATAAATCCAAAATGCATCGATAAGAAATTCTTATTAAGAATACATCATCGTGATAGCTGCGCACTCCACTTCAATTATTTCATAGCAGTAATTTCTTTCAAAAAGACAATCTACAATTTGCAACATTGTGTTTAAACGAAAATTCAGAATTATGTGAATCGTTTCTTCTATTCTACATGTCTATTCCTTCTGCCTATATACATTAATTTATATTTCGTGTCTTACTATCACAATTTAGAATCTGCAGTGATACTTTTCGCATCAGTTCCCTGCTTTTCAATCCATGCGCTATTATTTCTTTTAAGATACTCCGTTTCTGCTTCGGCCATTTCACATATTCCCGTTCAGTCTCTTTCACTTTACCCCCGATTTGAGAACAGTCTCCTATCGACAACAAAACCATGCGAATACTTGGAAAATATTTCGTAGAATTGAATGTTCGAACGCACCGAGCCGCATTCGACCGTCTCGGCGAAAGATAAAAGCTCTTGCGCACGGTACGTTACTACTTTTGATTTCTGTCGATCTTCTGGCTGGGTTAGACTGTATGAAGCGCGTCTCGCGGGCTAGGAAAATGGAGTATCTTGGCTGGCTGGTATCGGAAGCACTCGTCGCTGATTGAAAAGGCTCGACGACGCTCGACGCCGCGCCGGAAGAGGACTGGATGCAACAGAATACACAACCGTCCCCTGCGTTCCACCGTCGGAGATTCCATGGTCCCGTAATTTCGGGTTGGCGCACCATAAAATCGGTGGCCTCCGCGGACCGGAGGAGAACTGGAGCACTCGACCATTGTCACGCGGCGGAATGTGTGCGCTCGATGCACGTGGCGCATCGGAACGATCGTTGCGGAGACGCGCACGCGAAATGTTTAGTATTCCTAGGGAAGGGTCGAGGGAGCACCGCTTTCAATTTGCAGCCGACAATTTGTCCGCCGGTTGCGGACCGCAATATGCGAGCACGGCTGATATACATGCATACATGCATGCACGGCTTACGGCGTTCCTATATATATGCCGATGAACGAATTCGAGGTTTCCCGCGGCGACCGGGCAACCTTTAATATTTGATTCGCGGCGGGATTAATTCGAAACGGTGCCTGCGGATCGGTATGTTGCGCACCCGCGATCTTCGTTGCAGCTTTTATGTCCGCGGATTCAAATGGACCCTTCTGGTGTACTTTTTACATTGGTTTCGCGATTTTATATCCCTGTTACACGAATGCCATTCACATTATTTTATTTTGTTAATTAAATTGGTCGAAGAATCTTTTAGATTGCAGAATGCAATACGAACTAAAAATTTAGAGAGTACGCGATGTAAATTGTGTCGGAATATTTGAGAATCGCAGAAAAAATTAATGCTTTATTTCAAGTCTGCGTGAATATAATTATATTCATGTTATAAATCATCTAAAGATCAACATTTTTCATGAATACCAAAAATTAACGTAGTGGATGCCATCTGTATCGTGTACGGAATAAATATTTCATTCTCTCTCTCTCTCTCTCTCCCTCTCTCTCTCTCTCTTATTATTTATATATATATATATATATATATATATAATAAATTATATATAATAATATAATATAAATAATATATTGTATTGTTANTCATTCTCTCTCTCTCTCTCTCTCCCTCTCTCTATTTCTCTTATTATTTATATATATATATATATATATATATATAATAAATTATATATAATAATATAATATAAATAATATATTGTATTGTTATAGTTTATTATATTTTTTATATTATTATATATTTGTTATATTTATTATTATAATATAAATACAGCTCTCTCATCGGTGCATTTCTTATTAACTTTAGAAGAAATTGTACCTTTTTTGATAACACGATCTTTAAATGTAAAAAAAAATTTGATGATCTTTTTATGTGATAATTTAGTATCCCTACAATTTGGATAAAAGGTTTCAATTTTTTTGTTTAGGTGTTAGCCACCCTGGCTCTGTCGATGGGGACACTGTCGTCGGGCCTAGCGAAGGGTTACACCTCGCCGGCCTTAGATTCTATCCTGGACAACCAGCCCCCTCATTTGTATCAGTCAGCGAACGATACCTGGTAAGTTTTTAAACATTAACTAGCAAATGTTAGAATTTCATTTCTGCTAACATATATATTTCCCGTCGCTATTAAAGCCCTAATATTACTAAAGAAACGAAAATAGCTCGAAAAGAGAACATTAGAGATGCAGTAGTATTAACATAGCGTTTCAATCAACATTATTTAGAAGATTATCTTGTATTGCATTTTCAACAGTATCCAAAATGTATTGTAAGTATACAAATGCTTACCGTTTATGCAAATATCGATTATCCGATTTTCTGATAACTTGATTCTTTATTCCCTATTTAATCGGCGCATTTTAATATATAAAATAATAATAATTGTTTATATTGTAATATAATTATGATTATCTAAATATTAATAACGTAACTAAGCAACCGATCCATTATCCGAATGTCCGTTTCTCCGGTCGCTTCGGATAACCGATTTCTCTACTGTGCGGTGAAAATTTTACGAAGTTAACCCGCCGCGAGTTATGTCAAATAAAATTTGTGTGCATCCGTTGCAAGAATCAGGAACTGCGTAAATATTTATTTCCGTTTCGAATAATATTTGTGAATTATAAATAACATGATCGAACAATAAAATTGTTGCAACACAGTGACAGCGTTTTATGCATCATCTACTCATTTTTGTCGTAAACGCCTTTATGATTATCATGGCGGCGGATTCGTTTGTATCGACCATTCTATCCGAGAGTCAGAGGTCAAAGGGTTAAACAAGAAACGTCTAGAAAAGCGAAACGAGAATGAAATAGTCTAGCATCGCTGCATCCGGATTAATCAGCATTTGGCAACTTTGGAATCGCCACGAAACAAACCAGTAGCGCAATGGTCGTATCTCTGTCAGGAAAAGTGAAACTTCGTAAGTAATTGTGCGCTATACGCGTCGTGTCCGGTAACGATTAGCGTCGCCGTATAGATAAGCAAATTAAATAAATACCACAAGATATTTCTGTCCGTCGCCGGGCCGACCCGGACCGACTATAAACCGCGCGAGCGAATATCTTAGATAATTCACTTAACAAATGCGTTAACGTCACACTCCGTTCCTTTTCAAATGTCGTCGCACACACTTTCTCCGCGATAGCGGTTCGGTTTATCAGCCGTCCACTATAAAGGAAGCAGCATAAAGTAGCGGGAGTTGAACCGCGCGATCATTAGTTACACCCTGCGTGTAATATTCGCCACTTAGATCGTTACGTAACGGCGAGATTTGCGAGTTACGGTTCGTCGTTAATCGATCGAATTAACATTCGACCTAAAATAGACGATTTAAAGTCTCCTAGGAAGATCGGCTTGCTAGAAATGGTCTGAATAATAATTTGAAAGTCGAGAAAATATTTTATATAAACATTCATTTTTAGTTGACATCAACGATAAACCAGTTCTGGTTCAGTACGATAGTTTAACCCCTTAACGCGCAGAAACGTATTAACACGGGCGTGCAAAACCGGCCAAAATGTGCAGACCCGTATATATACGGTCGGCGTCGCAACTTATGTCGCTAAAATGTTCAGATTCGAATATATCCGGGCAGTAAAAATAACTTAATAAAAACCAAGGAAAACATTCAATTTATTGATATTCATCGTGTAATTCTGTATTGTAAGCTGTAAAGTTTGTTTATTTGGGATTATAAAATATGGCCTTTTAGGGTGACGCTTATAAGCATCTCTGACCTGGTAATTGTTTCTATCTATCTATATCCATTATTGCGTATCTAATTAGCGTTGGCAC